TATAAATATTTCTTATTATTTTTAGGATAACTTTCTAATATATAGTGACTTTAGGGATGAATACTTTTATATTTTATTTTTCATGTTTTACTTAAATAAAATGAAAAGATTTAATTATTGTCTGTAATAACAAATTTTTAAGATTATTTATTTACTTATAATATTAACTATTAAGTAAATCTATTCATATCCTTATTCGTAATTTGATACTTAAAAGCACTTTCTGAAAAGCTTGGCCAAACACAAATTATTGCTCAAAAGTGCATTTTAGAGTGGTTAGCCAAACACAAATTACTTCTCTCCAAAAATACTTTTTTCAAAAATAATTTTAAAAAAACACTTCTCAAAATAAGTTAATTTGTCCGAATTAGCCAAATAGGCTATAAGTAACTAGTGAAGCTATAGTAACGTGACAATTTTGGACAAATGATTAGATTTCAATAAAGTGCTGAACCCTGGGGTCCATCATGTTTGTTTGATTTCAAATGAGTCAGAAAATTGAGGCTTTGCATAATGACAAAAAGACATTTCATTTGGTTAGGAATATTATTATTATTATTATTAAAAGATCTTTAGTAGATAAAATCTAATCATAATCATCATGCTTCTTCCTGCACATGCTTAACTTAATTTTCTCTTGCTCCCTTTTACAACTTTTATAAGTAATAGTTAAGAACTCAATTATCTAAAAGATGAAAGTAGCGCAAATGAAGATGTTGAGGTGGATGTGCGGGTATACTAGTATAGATAAGATTAGGAATGATGATATTCGGGAGAAGGTGCACGTGACTTCCATTGATGACAAGATATGGGAAGCGAGGCTTAGATGGTTCGGACATGTTTAGAGGAGAAGCCCAGATGCTCCGGTACGGAGGTGTGAGCGACTGGTTGTGGTTGGCATGAGAAGAGGTAGGGGGCAGCCTAAGAAATATTGGGGAGAGGTGATCAGGCATGATATGGCGAGGCTCTAGATTTCCTAGGACATGACACTTGATAGGAAGATGTGGAGGTCGAGTATTAGGGTTGTAGGTTAGGAGGTAGTTGAGTCTTGCCTTACTTCGTATCATTGTGGGACTAGCCAAGTAGGGTTTTTGTCTAAGATAGCTAGTGGCAATGTTGTGTCTTACTATTTCGCTTTTCAGTGAAGGACCTATTTACTAGCTATCGCTTTTGCTTTGCATCTTTCTTCTGGATTTCATGGTGTTCTTATTTTTCCTATGATTGTTGTGGTGATATTAATATTGTCTCCTTTTGTCCTTTTGTCTTTTTGTTTTTTTGAGCCGAGGGTCTTTCGGAAATAGCCTCTCTACTCATTCGGGGTAGGGATAAGGTTTGTATACACACTACCCTCCCCAAACCCCATTAGTAAGATTTTACTGAGTTGTTATTGTTGTTGTTGATTTGATAAACCCTCTCAAATAGATTAACAAATGCAAATTTCCACATCGCTTCGCATAGGTACCTCTTTATTTATTCGTCATATATCTGCAGATAATCTAATTTCTATCACGTGGAGTCTTAGAGCAACGGTAAAGTTGTGTCTGTATAGGTCACGAGTTCGAGATGTGGAATAAGTCATTAATTCTTGCATCATGGTAAGCTGTCTACATCACAACCTCCTGGGGTGCGGCCTTCTCCGAGCAACGGTAAAGTTATTTCCGGTGATCTATAAGTTACGAGTTCAAACCATAGAATCAGTTATTGATGTTTGTATCAGGGTAATCTGCCTATATGCGTGAACGTGTAATACTTTGAATACCGGATTATCTTTTTTTCTTATTCTAATTGAAATTTTTATACAAATAATCATATTGATCGATTATTTACTTTTACTAACCGATATATATAATGCGCTGATTATATATACAATTATACATATATTATACATATAACATACTTATAGTATATATATACGCCGTGTATTTTTGGTTTAATCGGTTGAGTTTGCCGACTACATAAGGTAATTCTTCTATATAATTTCTACTAACTGTAAGACTTTTTAAGTGATTTTTTCGCCAAATTCACATTTTCAGAATTTCAATCATGAGCTGTAAGCCTTTAACTAACCGCATAATTTTTCCAAATTTTGAACTGTATACCACACAGCCTTATTTTTCAACTCACTTTTTTAACATCTTGCACCTCTTCATATGATCATATCATATAACACTTCTTTCTATTCCCACATTTTTTTCTTCCTTTCTTCTTTCTGTTACGTTCCTCGACAAAATCCACCGTCTTTTCCTTCTTTATTTTGTCTTCTTATTTCTCAATCTCATAACACACACACACACACACAAAAAAAAAAGAGAGAAGCAAACCAAGAAAAAGAAGAAAATCGCATTATAATCAGAGTTAAAACACTGTACTAATTTGCAGGACAGAGGTGGTGATTTCAAGAATAAGAAGTAAGAAAAATGGACGGCGAAGATAGGCCGAGGACGATATGGAGAAACCTGAAGCAACGGCTGGGATTTACTGGGCTAGCTTGCTGTGGGTCCACTTGGAACCTGAGAGTATCGGACATGACGATAAGAGAAGAAGAGGCCCAATTATTTGGTGAAGAAGAGCCCATGATCGTGGCCCATCAAGGGAGCGTGAACCTCGCTACGGCTCTGGCAGCCGAGCGACGATTCCGGAGCGTAGGTACCACGGAGAAACTGAAGACGTTGATGAGGTTGTTTGAGGAAACGGACGGTAGAGATGAGAAGAGTAGGTGTGCTGAGATGTGCTGCGTGTGCATGGAGAGGAATAAAGGCGCGGCTTTTATTCCCTGCGGACATACCTATTGTAGGGTGTGTTCCAGGGAGCTCTGGTCAGGTAGAGGGTTGTGCCCTCTTTGTAACCGTTCCATTTATGAGATTCTCGATATTTTCTAAGATTAATTGTCTCTTATTGTTTTTTTCCAATCTCTTTATTTTTTATTTCTGTAGGTTTTCAATTTTGATCATTTTGATTTGAGGAAGTTGTATCTCCACTCCTTTTCATTGTTTAGGAATTTTTGTCTAGGGAAATTCTTATTGGAAAAAAGTGAAGTGAAGAAATGAAAAGAATTTAAGCTGGTCTAGATGATTATTGGCAATTTGGCATAATTAAAATGTCTATCAGGTAATTGGTGCCAATCTTAGTATCTATTTAATATATTGGGCTTAAATTTTATGGAATAAGATGGTACAGACATGTGAAAATGAGAGACATAGATACCTGCACGAGGAGGTGTGAGAGATTGGCCTTGGTGGGCATGAGCCGAGGTAGAGAAGTATCGGGTGAGGTGATTAAGCAGGGCATGACGCAACTTCAATTTATTAGGACATGACCCTTGATAGGAGGATGCGGAGATCTAGGATTAGAGTATAAGGTTAGGGTAGTTGAGTATATTTCTTTGTCATATCAGTTGCATTAGTATTAGTCTTGTATTTTGTTGTTCATAGAGTTATATTTTTACCTATTATTTCTTTCGCTTCACTTATCTTCTTTTCATTTGCCCTTGAGCCGAGGGGCTTCAGAAATAGCTTCTCTACCTCAGGATAGAGGTAAGGTCTGCGTACACACTACCCCAAACCCTACTTATGGAATTATACTGGCATATTATTATTGTTGCCGTAAGAAATAAGTATTTCAAGTTGGAGCAACTGCAAGTAAAGCTTAGGCCTTTGTTCAAAACTCGCAAGTAGGGGTGTTCATGGTTGGGTTTGGTTCGGTTTTTCCCTAAAAAGAAATCAAACCAACTAAGTCGGTTCTTCAAATATTGAAACCAAACCAAACCAATTAAATCGGTTTTTTATCGATTCGATTTTTGTCGGTTTTAGTCGGTTTTTCGATTTTTTCGGTTATTTATCGATTTTTTTCTTAAATATGAGACATACACTACCAAACACATATTCTGCAAACTACATTTTCAACGTAACGCTAGGCTGCTTCACAGAGATGCGCTTCGCTCGACCACATGATGAACATGTTTTAAGCTAACTGCATGTCGATCGCTATCAAACCAATTACTCTTTGAGAAATCTCTCATTTACCAAGATATATTGATGATAATTGAATCAACTATTGATGAATAATTTAAGTACTCAATTAAAAATCGATTATTTTTAACATGAAATAAATTCTTGTACTTAACAAAAGAAAACTATCAATCAAACTAGAATATAAAGGCAAATAATTAGATTATTATAATAGCAAAAAACTAGACTAAAAATATAAACGACTAATATGTACCATAAAATTTTAGAAATTTTATATAAAAATATACATATATATAAGTGTAATAATAAATTTAAATAGCTACTTCTATAATCGGTTTGGTTCGATTTTTTCGGTTATTTTTTGATTAAAACCAAAACCAAACCAAATTTGATCGGTTTTTAAAATTTAAAACCAAAACCAAACCAAACCTAAAAAGTATCGGGTTTTTTGGTCGGTTTGGTTCGATTTTCAGTTTGATCACCCCTACTCGCAAGAGAACCCAAGTTAACTTCTTTTTCAGTCAAGTACGCTGTTTAGGACTTGGACCTCCTCCCATTTTCTCCTTTAGAGTATATGACAAAAAAGGACAGGAAATAGATTTCATGTTTCACATTAAATCCAGCTGAAAGAAAGCAGCAATTTACCATACAAGCTACCATAGGAAGCATTCCCAAGTATAGCATCCATTTGAAGAATGCTCATAGGATAATCGATATATGAACTGCCAAAAATCATTAGTTTAGTGCATTAGAAATTTAACAAAATGTCCCGGATGAGTAGTTGGTACTTTAACTAGCCTTATCCACCTAAACAAGAACATAACTGCTTCTGCAAAACTTCTGTAAAAAGAAAATTTCATTGTTTGTAAAATTAACCAAACATAATTCTTAGAAGCTTGTATTAAATTAGAGCAAGTGTGTCACTTGGATTTCCAGAATAACCAGTCCATTGAAGGCACCATAATGTACTGACATGTCACTTTAAAACTAGTGAGTATAGTATAAAGCATTTCCTCCCACTTTACATCCAAACTTCTGAAGAACCCGGTCAAGTCGAGGATTCCACAAAGGCAAAATGGCAGATAGTATTACGAACCATCCATAGCAATGTCGCCACTAGTTGGATTTTGGTTTGAATTCAAATGGCTCCCTGAGGCATTCCACTGATTATGAGCAGCTCCAAAGGTGAATTCCTGTGGAGGAATGTTAAAAACAGGACGAGCAAAAATTGATGTAGCACCAGAATTGTTGAAGGCTGGAACTTGAACTGAATCATTAGGATTTGGGTAGTTAAAGCTGAAGGTTGGCACAGGAGAAGAGAAGACTGGCACGGCAGAGGCAAGCGGGTTCTCCAGAGGACCGAAGATCTTCTGCTCATACTCCTGTAGTTGTTGGTGAACCCCTGTATTACAAAAGGAAGAAAAAAGGTTACATTGACATTTAGAGCTCTAACAAAACCTTTTTATTCTTAAATCAATTTAAAATAGGAGACAACCAAGTAATATAATTGGATATGGAAGATCAGCAGTCCAACAACAACAACACCAACAACAAACCCAGTATGTTCCCAATAGGTGGGGTCTGGGGAGGGTAGTCTGTACAGACCTTACCCCTACCCCTACCTACTGCAGGTAGAGAGGCTGTTTCCAATAGACCCTCGGCTCAGGAAGGGTAAGAAGAAGAAGAGGAAAGCAAGGAAGGAAGAAAGAAGGATGGATTAGCAGTCCCAGAAACGAAATTTAACAGAGATTTCAACGACAAAGAAAGGAAGAACGGATATATACAGAGCTTGCAGTTCATGCACACATTTGACCTAAGCCTCTTTAAAAGCTACTGTGTAACTCAGCTTGCACTTGGAATGACCAAGCTCTATTTGGTCATAGTTAATAAATCCACTGAGGAGCACTTCCACTGGCAGAATCTTTTCATTTCTAATTCAATTTAAACATAGCATTATCTCGCCCATCCCAACTCCTCCCTCCCCCACAAAAGGAAAAAAAAAATCATATAAGTGGCATATGAAAACCTAGGACATTACCTTTAAACTAGATATATGCGAGCATTTCTAAGTAGAATAACTAGCTGGGTATCATAGCTTTTCAGATTAAAATAGGCAAAACGGACAAATGCTTATAAGGGTATATTTAGTACCTTGATTAAGTTCGACGGAAGGTCTCCGCTCTTTCACCCACTGATAGCTCTGCGCAAGTTTCCATCCTCGACTTTTCATCAGGTAAGCAATTACAATGGCGGGTGACCTGTCAAAAAAGCTTAAGTTTAAGTTCTAATAATAATTACATCTGTAAGCCAAAATGGTGGTCTTCACAAGAACAATCAATTGAAAAAACTTTTAGGAATAGTTTACTACATTTCTCATTCTCAATCAAGATTTCTACGCTATAGCATCAGAATAATAATACTAAATAGAACCTGAAACAAATAATACAAGCTTTGACCTGCACACCTTTATTTCACGGGAAACCCGAGGGAAAACAAAGAGAGAGGAGGAAAGGATGCAACACAAAACCAAAATGAAAAAACAGAACGAAATTTATGCATGCAAAATTAGACAAATCAAACTCCTTACTTGCTTTTCCCTGACATACAATGTACAAGAACACGAGCCCTATCCTTTTCACATTGTTCTGCAGAAGAAAAATACCATTTGCATTAGTTTAGCCAGCAGAATGTCTCCCACAAAGCATACAAAGATTCCTCTAAAGCAAAGTTGAAGCTAAAACATGATAGTTTCAGCTTTAAACTATAGCAGTCGAATTGCATGATATCTTATTTAGTACTAATATTTTCCTACTCAACAGTTGTAGATTTTAGAGAAAGTTCAAGTCAAAATCTTCAAGTTCTGTCATGTACAAATGCATATCCAACATATAACCAAAACATTTGAAAAAGGAAAAGCAAGAGTGCAAACATCTCTTCCAACTTTACTCGAAAGTACAAAACAAGGACCTGTTGTAGGCAAATCTATACACAAGAAGGCAGTAGATGGGTCAACATTCAACCGGAAAAAGCTACCACCGTAGATGCGTGAAAGAATGAAGTATTGGAATCTGTGAAGTGCTTGCAGCTGAAGTCCCGGTAGTTAAATCCACAAGAGAAGTTTAACACACTAGATTTGCCTTTCACAGAGAGGAACCAAGGACAAACAGATAGAGGGTAGAGTAAAGCACATACAATAAAGCTCTCTATAAGTATGTCAACTCAGAGGAAAGATGCCTAGTCACATTGAAAGCAAGAGCTAAAGCTTCTATGTTTCAGACTAGGTGATTATTAGGAAAAGGAACAACGGACATAATCGAGCATATCGTAACTGAATACGTTGATAAGCAATTAACTTACAGGAGAGCAACTCCAATCAAAGAGTTATTTAAACTCATCTACAGATAAACAAGCTGAAAACATCATGGTTGAAGAGTACAAAACATCAGTTAAAAATTCATCATGTGATCCTGTGGTGAAGAATAGTTTATTTTTTGATGAAGTAGCAGTTTATTGGTGTAATTGGAAAAATCCCCAATACAAGTTGTATAGAAAAAATAGAAATCTTAGGGAAAAAAAATTATTGTGCAAGTATCAATTAAACTGGAGATTTTCTTCCTCTGTCACGTTTGGCCAATATGACTTTTCCAAAAAGACTATCTTCTTTGTTATGAATAAAACTTAAACTAAACCAAGTTTACTTTAGCCACATACTTCTAATTTTTATCCTTTTTAATAAGTTATTATTTCCTTTTAAATTTTCGCCTATTTTTTTCTCTATTATTATATTCCAAATTTTCTCAAACTTTTTTTATCTCCTGCTATTTTCAAACTTCAAATATTTTTAAACTTTTCAAATTTTTAGTTTGCATAAGTATTAGTCTCTTTTTATATTACAATTAGTACATAACGCATGTTATATTAGGAATATAGCTATGACATAATATAGGGGTTTCATTGATAGGTATTAAAGGGTTTTTGTTTATGGTTTTCGGGTTTTGAAGAAGTTTTCTACATAGGTATTTTGATAAGTTACATTTGTAAATTTAACAAAAATAGCCAGCATTAATTATGTGCTAGGTAAGAACTTTCCTTCAGGAGA